TCAAATTTTAATCCGTGTTGAAATTGGAGATTGAAGTAAGGCTAGTCACACCCTCAAAATAACACGCCTATAAAGCTACCTACTTTGAATAATCAGTAATTCAGTTTCTTTTTGAATAAAAATATACATGCAAGAAGGAGAGGGAGGATTTAAAATTAAGAGGTATCTTAATTACAGGCCATGCATGCATGAAACTGGGGCCTATCTCTGTCTAATATCAACAGTAATATGAGACTACTGAGTGAACTGTTTCTGTTTAGCGTTATGCTGATTGTTTTTCATTGTTTCTGTCTATGCTTCTGTCCCCATGATAGCCACTAATAAATAAACTGCAAGGATTTTATAAGTGAAGTTGATTATCACTCTTCTCTATCTTATAAAAGAGTTTGTGGTGATAACTCTAATTAAAGGATAAGCTGTTTGTTAACAAAATGAAACATTGGGTTTGTAAATGGAAGACCAGACAGAAACATGAATCATTTATTTGTCAATATTCTCTCATACCCCAGAGATGGGATGACTAAATGCAGAAATCATAGCAATCATTTGTGAAGTTCAGACCTGTCTTTTCAAGTGCTCACTGACCAGCCATTCTCCATCACCTGGCAGTAGTGCCCCTATTTAAAAAATTGAAAAGGAAAAACATTAATTTCAATCATCTGAATCTTTTCATTTTGCACTTATATGTCAAAATGGTTAGCACATTGATTGAAAACTAACTATAACACCAGTTAAAAGTTTTAGACTTCTAAAATCTAACAAAGCAAGTGGTAGTCTGGATGAGTCTTCAAAACGTTATTGCTAAACCCGCCTAACTCCCTTGCCTGCCCTCGAACTGACCTTGCTTCCTCCCACTTGTGGCCAGAAAGCTCAAGATAGTAAATACAGAGCTAGGAGATCGAGGGATGTGGGGGAAAGTTTCATATGAGAAACAGTTATTATTCATTTGGCCATTTGCACTATTAGTTATTTTTCTTTTGAAATATAATCTCCTGCCTTCAGCAAAAAAGAATATATTATATCATACAGTGTATGCACTAGAGAAATTAAGATGACTGCCAAAAGACAGCTCTGCTTAAAAGACCAAATTGTGTTTAATTGGTGTGAACTTGATGAAGACCTAAGGAGAAGCAGGTTGGGAGATAAGCCAGGAAGGCTATTTGACATTTGATAAGACTCTCACTTGGGAGACATAAAGCAGATGTTTATTATTTTTGCTATTAACCCTCAATGTCCAGGTAGTCAAATATATACACTCTCAGCCTTCCTTTCTTTCCTTAAATTTCCAATTACCTGCTGCTTTATATGTTTGTTGTTTTTATTTTCCCTTGCGAGGAACCCAGGGCCATGGGGCATGTGTGGCAGGACTTGCCACTAGCCCTGGGTGCTTCCTAAGTCATTGAATCATTTTCTAGGCCCTTTTTTGCTGATACTTCCTAGCAACAGGACTGTTACTGCATCTCGGTGCTTGCTGGTAGTGACAAAGCAGCGAGATCTCAGCAGAGGAAGTGTCCTGGTAGCCTGCCCTTCCCACTTTCTCTGCTTTTGCCTAATCTTCCTCGACCTAGAAAGAGACGAATTGTGAAGTGACTCACCTTGTAGGCAAGGAGAGGGGAGAGTTTAATTTGGGCATCACGTATTCTAGATTTCATTTGGAACTCACTTTAGAGGTTAACACAAATTAAATTAGTTATTTATCATTCTTTATGAGCTTACAAATATGAGAAAAATGAAACCTAAGTCCTAAAATAAACTTGAAGATTTGTGTGTGTGCGACTAATCATACTTGGTATCAATACTAAATGTTCTGTTGTAGGAATTATAAAACTTCTGCACAAATAATAAGGTCCACAATCTAAAATATGTTATATCTGACCCTTGACAGAAAAAACCAGCTAGTGGTAACTTTTATAGCTATTGCTATAAAAGAACAGTAAGGCTTGCTCTGAAAGAAAAACTAGTAGAGTACAGCCCTATTTAAGATTTTATCATTTTTGGAATTTGGAAACCAAATCCAGTACCACATTATTAAATATGTGTCCTTTGTCACATTACTGTCAAAGATGGCAAGCCTATTATTTGCTTTTGTGCTATTCTTAAGATTTTTTTTTCTTAAAATTTTCCTCCATATCTGTTGTAAAATTCATTCATTCATTGTGTGAGTATTTAGAGCAATTCTTTTTTCAGAGCCAGACAGATATAAAAGGTAAAGGTAAAGGTAAAGGCCCTCCCGTTGATCGTCAATTTGCTCGAGCGGGCCCAGTAACGTCTCCATTGGAGACTTTGTTGTTACTGTGTCTGGCATATCGAATACTCTCGGTAGCTTGCTGGGCTCTCCGAGAGGGGGACAGACAGATATAAGTAAATGTGTAATAGGAGGGTTAAAAATATTAAAGACATAGATCAAACACTGTTGAAATTTATATCGAATAATACAACTATCAGAACAGCCAAAACTGCCCTAAAGAAAAAGAAGATGGGAGGCTTCTCCTTCCTCAATTTTAAACTTTACTATAAAGCTACAGTAATGAAAAAAGTGTGATATTAGAATAAGGACAAACACTCAGACCAATGGAGTAAAATTGAGAGCCCAAACAAAGATCGTCAGATAAATGGACAGTTTATGACAATTTTTGACAAAGGAGCAAAAAGTATGAAGTGGAGCAAGGAAATCCTCTTAAACAACGGTGCTGGGAAAGCCAGTCAGTCATTCACAAGCAAAAATTTAACTCAGACCCTTTCCTAATACCATTCAAAAAAGTCAAATGAAAATGGGTTGAAGATCTTGATACCAGACCAGAATCTACATATTATATTAAGAAAACATTGGCAAAACCCTTCATTACCTTGAATCTAGAGGTATCTTCAATGATTCAATGACACTGGCAAAGTAAACAGAACCAAAGATAAACAAATGGGACAATATCAAACTAAGAAAGTATTTTGCATTATCAATACTATGACTCATGGTGCTTAAAATAAAAATTTCAAAATATTTGTAATTAAAAATATATAGAAAAAGATATATAGAGAGAATATATAAGATATATATTTTAATATATGTACATATATATTTGAACAGAATTTTGACTTTCTTTTTCTCACAAAACTTTTTGGGAATCAGGGAGATAGTTCAAGTGATTGAAATGCATGCTTTTCATGCAGGAGTCTCAGGTTTGTCCCTGGCACTGCATGGTCCCCTGAACACCACCAGAAGCAACCACTAAACACTGAGCCAGACTTGTGCAGAGTCCCAAGACACCAAATGAAGCTCTGAATCTTTTTGAAAACTCAAATTTATGAAATAAACAGATCCTTGAAGAGGTTTTAAAGAGAGAGCTACTAATCTTTTACAAAACTGCTTCCCCAAAATTCTCTAGGTGCCAGAATAGAAAGCAAAGAACCCCAAAGTTAGAGAGCAAAGAGGAATTGTGATAATTTCTTTGAATAATTCTAGGTGGGCTTTCCTCTGTAACCTGTCTTCTTGACAAGCTTAAATGTGACCTTTGTTCTCCCCTAGGCAGTGATTTTCCTAGCCCAGACAGATCCTTCCAGGAGGAACTTCCAGGCCTCAGGCACTGTGAGAAGTTTTGGGTGTGGAGGATCTGCCCCATCCACAACCCAGGCTCAGACAACATCTTTGCTGTGTTCTTTCCAATCTGAAAACTTGGACCAGTTACCTGTTAGAATTTCAATTTCCTTAAACTAGAAATAAACCATTTGCACTTGCTAAGATTTAATGCTGTGAACCTCTTATCAGTTCTTTCCTTTTGTGCCAAAATCAAGCTTAAGGAGCCAAATTTGCATGCCTCCTGAGCAGGACTCCCTGTGAGAAAGCAGTAGGATCATGGAAAAATAAAACTATTTTATTCCAAAGTTCTTTTTCCAATTTATTATAACAAACTTCTTGAAAATCTTAGCAGTTCCCTCTGGGCTTTCTTCCCTAGGGCCCCACTCAAGGTCATTGCAGTCATAATCATTGCTGATCACTGGGAGGGAAACAACCTTTCTAGATTTGAACATTGGCCTACATTCTAGAGAAATGCAGGGCAAAGTCCCATTCCCACTACTGTGGCTTCCCTTGGGGGATGAGGGGTGGGGTGGGGGGACAGTAGAGACGGTTGAGCAAACTATATGAATGTCTCATTTACTGTGACATGCCTGTGGATTTAAACTTGTAGCACATCTTTTCTCTATGATATAAAAAGAATTAGTCCAGACTAATTCAAAGAATTCCTCCGCCCCTCTCGGAGAGCATGGCAAGCTACTGAGCATATCTCGCCCGCATGGCAAAGCCTGGCAAGCTACCAGTGACGTATTCAATATGCCAAACACAGTAACAAGTCTCACGATGGAGACGTTACTGGGCCCGCTCAAGCAAATCGATGAACAACAGGAGGACCGTGACAATTCAAAGAATGTGTGAGGAATAAGACTTTGCTCCATTCTTGGAAACTTTAAAAAAAAAAATCTCTTTATACATATAAATAAATCTTGAGTAGCACATTGAACAGAAAAGCAAAGTTACAGAATATGTGATCCAGACTTAAAAAACAAACCAAGAAAAAACTTCCTTAAATATCTCCAAGGGCTTTTTTTGTTATAGTTTTTAGTATCAGTATTAGCCACTGTAAGAATAGCTTTGGGCAGGAGGCACAAGTGCTGGGATTTAAGGTAGAGAAAGAAACCACCAATTCCCTGCTCTCAAGCACTTCCATTGTGGCAAACACAAAACCAAACAGAAAAAGCAGGCTGCCTGCGACGGAAATGCATTACAGCTGCGAGTTCGTATAACATCAAGCATCCGATCCAGAAACAGGCAACTGAGTCATAAACAAAGCAGGAGTGCCCATCACAGGACAGGGTGGCAGAGCCCTGAGCACCTCCTGGCACAGCACTGGGCAGTGGTGGCAGGTGGGAAGCGACTGTTCACGACCCTCACAGTCTCCTTCCTGCCTGGGGCTTCTCATCTTATCCTCTTCTCTGTTTGCCAAATGCAGGTTCATCCCAGAGGCCTGGTCGGCCTGCACAGTTACCTGTGGTGTGGGGACCCAAGTGCGAATGGTCAGGTGCCAGGTTCTCCTGTCCTTTTCCCAGTCTGTGGCTGACCTGCCTGTTGATGAATGTGAAGGACCCAAGCCGGCATCCCAGCGCGCCTGTTATGCAGGACCGTGCAATGGGGACATTCCTGAGTTTCACCCGGAAGATACTGATAGTCTCTTCAGTAGCCTGCAAGATTTTGATGAGCTGTATGACTGGGAGTATGAGGGCTTCACCAAGTGCTCTGAGTCATGTGGAGGAGGTAAGAAAGGGGCACTCTGCCTCAGATCCCCACTGCCATCTAGACTTTTTCTGTCCCTACTCTCCCTGCAGGCACTGTGTCACGTGACTGCCTCTGCACTAAGAATGATGGGGGAGGGAAGGGAAGGCATCCTAGATGTAAAGCATGCTGAATGAAACACAGATGTATTTCTCTTTGGGCTTGAGTGGCTCTCAGGCTGTCAGCCGTAAGTGGCCAACACAACTAATGCTTTTACTCGCAGTTGTCATTTCGATGTTTTGCAGTATATCTGAGTACAGCTGACTGAGAAAGAACGTTGACACTGACCTGGCAATGCTCTCAGCATTCAGTTTTATTTATCTATGTCCTTGCCTCAGTGCTTGTGATACGAACCAAGACCCAAGATGACAAAACACTACTATACCCAGGAACAGGTTTACCTAACTGATTTCCCAAGGAAATATCTATTTATAAAGGGCAAGGGTGTGTCAGGGATAATTAACACTATGGTTGCCTGGAACTGGGAAGGAGTTTAAAGGCGGAAGTCTGATCTCACTGCCGTTTTACAAATGAGCAAACTAAGAGGCAAATAAGCCAAATGACTTAGTTGAGCTCACATAGCTAGCGAGTGGTAACTGGACCTCAGCCTACTAGTTATTTCTCTCTCTCGACTCTTCCCATCTTATCATGCTTCTTCAAGCACTTAGACAATTTCTGAGGCTTTGCTTCCTGAGACTTTCCTGTTGTGACTATTATTTAGCTAAAGTTGGATATTCTCGTGTGTATTGAACTGATTTCTTTTAGGTATATTGCATTGGTGATAACAACAGAGTGAATGATTATTTCAGGTGTTCTGAACAGAATTATATTGGGAGAGGAAAGCATTAAATCAGCAATTCATTTTTCAAGATTACAGTCTCTCTTAGCACTATAGAAAATACATTAAATTCAGATTGCCACCGTCTCCCATATCTATTCCCAAAAGAGACTTTTAGGTGAGGAAATGTTGGCTGATTCCCTGCCAAATTCCTCTCACTGGCTATCATTAACCCCTCTTGGCATGTTAAGGTTCTGCTTTCCCAACTTCCCAGCAAAATTTCTTATTAACTGGTGTAATATATATTTTCCCAAACTATTTTCTAAACCAGAACATATGACATTTTTTGAAATTTATTTAAAAAGGCATGTGTTGTCATTCTTGAAAATATAAAAATAAATGTGCCTTATTTGTTCACATACAGTTGAAAAGAAATGAATCTTGGAACAACCACTAGCAAACAATCAGTTTTCTTCATTAGATCCTTTGATAAGCATGTAATAATTTTGACTTTGAGAGTCTTGTTTCTAAGTCTTCCCATTGCAGATCTTGTAATTCTGAAGTGTTTTCCTGAAAAACCCTGTTATTTTAAAACTTAAATTCTTCCATCTGATTCTGACCCCAAATTTCCATGCTCACCTGAGTTGAATAGTCTTTATCTGTAGACTAAAAAGAATGTGCTTTCAAAAAAATTATGTATGGTCACTCAGTTATGGTTCTCAGTTACAAGGCAAGCCTGGAACTTTATGAGCAGATGGAAAAATAGAGGCAGTTATGGAACAATAAATAACCAGATACCTTTTTCTTTAAGATTGTATCCATTCTGCCAATCAACTGAGGATATAAAATTCAGTGTAGAGAATATGTGGGATGTAATTAATTTTTACTGTTTTCAAAAGGTATCGATTTTGGAATAAAATTTTGGATGTTTGCTGACAATTAATCTCTGCCTGTAGGAACAGAGCATCCTTGTATAATAGAAATTGTAACATCCCCTCTACCAAGGCAATGATAAAACTTTCTGAGATACCTTAGATCTTTAACTGTCAACAGTTGTGCACTTACCTACAACTATGTCCCTGTGCCAAAGTAATATATCTATACCTAAAATGTTAGAGTTGAAAATTCCTAAGTGATGAAAATATACATGAGTTATACAGTCAATATGATGTCCGTGCACACTAAAAATTATTTCTGTGTATGGGACATGTATGTTTTGAAGTCATTGTTTCGCAATAACATTTTATTGTATTATTCACTATAATCTTTCACCAAAATATAGCCCACAAGGTTTTATATATATATAAATTTAATATAAATTTATATATATATATTTAATCATTCTTACTGAAGTCAGTCCCCAAACATACAGGATTAGCAGAAAGATTTTAAATCAATTTTGGATTGTAAGACTGGTTGGGCTAATTTTATTGTTTTTCAATCTCAAGAGATGAAATTGGATAGACACAAAAATAACCTTTCACCTAACAAAGGTAGCAACCAGAAGGAACTAGTTAGTAATTTAGGTTGCAGTTAGTGGCTGCATTTCCCAAACTGTCATCAAATATCATGTAACAATTATGCTATGCTGGGAGACATAAATACTGAAAATCCCATTTTCTGGAAGATTGAAAGTCAACCTAAACCATTCAAATCTTTGTCCTGTGTGCCACTATCATCTCCTTGTTATACTTTAATTTTATGTGTGTGAATAAATAGATGTGGTCAAGGAGAGCAGATTTAAAACTAAATAGTTTTATTATTTTGAGCTCCTAGAAGATAAAACCAACACTAAAATCTAGGTGAGGGAAAACTTGAAATTCACTTCAGCAGGAATGAAAAGGGAAGTCTTAAACCTCTTTCTCCTTTTCTCTTAATATTCCTTACTCATTTTTACTTCTGTCAAGAAAGCCAAATAACTGGAACACTCATAACTGTTAAGTGAAGTAAGACCTGACAAGTATAAGAATGAGAAGCTCTTGGAAACTATAACTGTAAGCAACATAATGTGTAACAGAACCAGGTCTTCAAATAAAGTCACTTAGTTCAACTTTAGCCAGGGTTTTTTTTTCCCCTCACTCTTGTAACTAAATGGCAATTAAAGTGATATTATTTGAAGACCTACTATATCATACTTCTGCAAGTGTTCTGTGTTGCTTTTTTTTTCTTTTTGGGTCACACCCGGCGATGTACAGGGATTACTCCTGGCTCATGCACTCAGGAATTACTCCTGGTGGTGCTCGGGGGACCATATGGGATGCTGGGAATTGAACTCGGGTCAGCCGCGTGCAAGGCAAATGCCCTACCCGCTGTGCTATCGCTCCAGCCCCTCTGTGTTGCTTTAAAGTAGAGATTCCCAAATTTCATTTTGCTCTCTCTGAAGGACCTAAATTCTATAAATAAGGCATTCACAAAGTGGAAAGAGATTCCTTCATTTATGTATCTCACAGGTACCCAAGCAAGCACTTTCAAGCCCTGTGGTCACTTTCTGCCTCAGGATCATCCTCTAAATTTCATATGGTTTTCAATCACTAACTTAAGCCAAAATATATTTCATTAGAAACACTACTTTTGCTTGAACACTACCAAGTAGTCAAATGAATTGAAAACTAATGTCCAACATAACCACTGCTCTAGATTCTGTATGGCCTACTTAGCTCTATCCAATGCCTGTCATCATTACCTTAATAAAGCCAGAATATTCCAGTGGGAGGAATAACTAATAACATCAACATTTTTGTGTATAATGTTTGCTATATTAGCATACCATGAATTTCAAATGACTCCTCTCAGCTGCAACGAGGAGAACGCCCTGAAGTCAGCATTATAGAATATGATGGAATAAATTGAATATTGAGAGTGAATCTTTAATGCTCCACCCTTAACTGGCCAAGATATATTTAAATTAGTTCTGAATCTCATAAAAAGCCTATTAAAAATTAAAACAATATAGAGGGTGCCATCATAGCCAGAGGTTAAATGTCATGGCTGATTTTGTTTTTAGGTTTGAATTTTTTTAGACAATAGGATGAAAGGCAGTTTGGAGTTTGGTTTTAAAATATCTTTTTTAGGAGCAGGAGAAATAGTGAAAGGATTAAGGCACATGGCTTGCATGTTGTCAACCCAAGTTCAATTCCCAAAATCACATGGTTCACCAGACATCTCCAGATGCACCTCTGGGTGCCCCTAAGTACTGGTGGGATGGCCTGCATAAACCTCAAATGTCCAGGTTCTGAGCAGCACTATATCCTCAGATCCTTGCACTGAACCATGAGCCCTTGAATGATAATCATAGAAAGCACCACTGAGCCTCTCAAGCACATTTTGGGGTATGGATTTACGTTATTTTAATGGTGATCTTGCTGAACTCTTGTGTTCTGACCACAGAACTGAGGTTATCAAAAGAGAGGAAGAAGCAAGGATCTAGGTTATCCAGTGGATTGTAGTGCAGGAATATTGGAAGATTGGTGGATTGGGGTATGAGGTAGATATAGACATAGATATTATATAGATATTATATATATATGCACACATACAAACACATACACACACATTGTGTGTTGACAAGCAGGATGGTTCCAGATGGTCAATTATGACAGAGCTCTGTCCTTAGTTTCCCCACCACTCTCAGCACCACTAAAGGGCAAGACATATGACCCCCATGACTCTAGACAATGATGCAAGAAACCTAGTGGAATTTAGTAACTCTCTACTGATTCTTTTTTTTTTTTTTTCCAATAGACAAGAGCTTATTTATTTTCCAGTTTCTACTTTCAATCTAAACTTTCAGGCACTGTGAGTTCTGATAAGTGTCTGATAAGTGTCTATATCCATCATTTTCTCCCTATTTGATTGCCATTATTTTCCTGGTCTAATAATGCATTGATGGGGAATATAACACAATCCCAAGATTTTACAGAGCATACAGTATTTAATATGACAACAAGGTATTGGCAGTTGCATAGTTCTTAAATATTTGAATAAATTAATATTTTGGCATTGTTCCTAAATGGGCATGAAACATCAAGACTTATCAAAGAAAATGAGTTGCTTTTAGATTTTGGTATTTCAACTCTGTTAAACATTTTTTTTTCTTTTTTTTTTCCCCCTTTATTTTATTTTATTTTTTTTAAAGTTGTAGATTTACAATTTTTTGTGCTTTGGTTTCAATTATACAATGATCAGATACCCATCCCTCCACCAG